CAGCTTTGAAACTCTATCCAGCTGTTGCTGGGCATATGGATCTAAAGAAAAACTCAACTGGATCTTGACGATGAAAAGGAAGAGGAAAATATTCATTTTTCGAGACGTGTACTTGTAATGGCCGTCCAAGAGTGGGTGAAAAGGAGATTATATATAGATATAATCATTTTAATAATGTGCTGATACTTTTGGAATCACACAGGATTAATTGTGTTTGTTTAATAATGTTCTTGTCCGATTTGTTGTCAAACAATCTTTGCGCTTCAAGGGCTTTGGTCCATAATTGAAGAATTATTTTATTTGGTTCCACACATTATTTTATTGAGACAAATAAAACTTGGCAAGTCTTCCAGGAAACTCCTCTATTTTATCCTTCGTTACTATTCTAGCACAATTCAGAATTGGGAAATCATCTAGGAATTTGAGGTTGATTAAGCTTGCCATACCTTGGGGTACTTCCTCAATTCTAGTATTTGTGAGGTCCAAATGTATCAATTTTTGAGCTTTTCCAGTGATGGCACTGATTCCAGTTCTTTACAATGTAATGTTCTAAGATTATCCAAGTCTGCTATGCAATATGGCAAGTTCTGAAATTTAGTGAGACCCAAATCGAGAGTGTAGATCACGCATGTGCTCAAAGAAACAATCTGACACTTGGGCGACGTGCCAGGCGAATTTCCATTTTAATCATCAAGGAATTTTATTTAAATCTTCTGTCCATTTTTGCACCTGTTATTTCCCTCAAGTGAAGTCCAGCTTTTACCATGTATGTCTAGGTCATGTTTATTTATCGCTATTGCCATGACTCTGATGAAATCATGTCCGTATCTGTTGAAGCCCTTTCTAGTAAGAAGGCTCTCTCCAATTGATTTAGTATTGCATGACCTTGGTCAATCTCAACTCTCAAGATAAATCTTCACTCCATCAGCTCTCCGAAATGACTTTTTCAATCAATTTGTCTCTTGGACTATGATAGTCTTCAGGATACACAGCAATACAAAAACATTTTAGTTTTGTATCCCTCAGTCGATCATAATCGTACAAGAGTATTGGCAAAACTGCTGGATTCGGAGAGATTATAATGAATGAGATTAATGGCACAATATAAAGTAATAAAGATCACAGCAAAAAACAAGATTCAAAGTAAATAAGAACAAAAAGAGTTAATCGTAGAGGAACGATGTATATTAATTGACAATATGGAGAAAAATTACAGACACGTCAATAATGCTTAAAGAAAATTGAGAGGGAAATCTTGTATTTATAAGCCACGTTTCAAATCCTAGAAGAGTCCAAAAAGATAAAAAAAATCTGTTAAAATTAGGTTACAATTGCGCATAAAACTTCGATTTAGAGAGAATTTCCTTTCCTTATTCAATTTGGATACAATCTTTCTTTCTAAATAAAAATCAAATACGCAATCTCAATAGACTTCTAACCATATTTGAGTCATAAAACCTAACAATCTCCACCTTGACTCAAATTTCGGTGCAACAAGCTGAGCTCCACAAAATTTCTCCACCTGAGAAATAAACTCGTTTGCATCGAAGTGAAATGACCAATCTCCTCAACACAGTAACCAAAACTCTCCATATAAACCATCGTCATCTACAAGGCGTCCACAAGCTACACCTGAACCCTATTTTCGGGATCCCAAAATTCCACCAAGGAATTAATGTTTACCAAACATGGGTCAAAGCACACCCTGTAGCAAAAATCATACAAAATGCCAAAATAAAAGACCCGTTGCTAGAACTGTCGCCTTCGACGTCCCCAAAAGCATTAGAGACATCACTAACACCACAGTACCTACGCTCAATGGATTCAATCCTAGCAAAGATGGCAAAATCACCAATGCTCCCTCGAGCAATGTTCCAAACTGACCCAGAGCCCATCACAAGAAGTACTATACCAAACTAAATATCCACCACGGTACTGAACTTGTCCAGATGTCTCTTAATTCGTTCTACGCTCCCCTGCAAGATGTACAACTAAAACATTCTCCGTCGTTCTAGTAAAACCCGGATATCCTTTCGGACCTTCAAGACTCAATTTCCATCAGAGAATTTATACTCTTTTGTATCCAGAGTACTAAGTAAGGTGAGATTCCTTTTCAAGTCTAGAACATGTCGAACATGATCAATTGTTCATATTATCTCATCCCGTAGCCTGAATCTGACTTGACCAATCCCAGCAATACGGCAAAACTGGTTGTTTTCCATTACAACTCCACCTTGTTGAACAGTCTCATATGTCTGAAAGAAATTTTGATTGAAACACATATGATGCGAACATGCCGAATCGAGAATCCACTCCTCGTAGGCCTAGATTCCATGTCAGATACCATGCTCAACATCACATCTCCGACGTCTGAAAAATCTTCAACTACATTTGTTTCGTCTAAAGTCAAAGATTGCGCTCCACGATTTGCAACTAAATCACATTTAGACTGCAACTTATCGCAATTCTTCTAAATATGTCTCTTACGTTTGCAGTAGAAGAAAAACAAATTGCTGTTATTCTTCGATCTGCCCCTCCGTCGATCACCATGAGATATAAGAACTTCCCCATCCCTCGATGTAGCTCCAACCAAATGCTTTAATTCTCCTTTGAGTGCAAAGCATCATAAACATCGTCTATAATCAAAGTATCCTGACTATACAAAATGGTATCCTGTAATGACATATAAGTGCCAGGTAGCGAACACAACAGGATCAAGGTCAGATCCTCTTTATTGTACTTAACCTCCAACGTATCCAAATCTGCAACTATTTTCTTGAACACTGTAATATGGTCCTCCAGTGACCCTCCTTCTGCCATGCGATAGAAATACATTTTTTGTTTTAGAGCTGGTTTACTCGTAAGACTTCTAGTCATGCATAACTGCTTCAATTTCAATCACAAAGCAGCCGTTGTTTTCTCCTTCAAGACATACTACAAAATATTGTTGGATAAATGAAAATGGATTTACGATAAAGCCTTCCGATCCCTCCGTTGTTTTTCTTCCGTTATCCAATCAGCTGCCATCTTCTCAAAATCCAGCAGTACATTGTCCAAATTCAACTACGCCAGAATAGCCTTTACCTTTACTTACCAAAAGAAAACATTGTATTGCAATCCAGTAGCAAAATGTCATACTTCATGGTAGTCATCTCTGAAAAAACGTCAACCAATCCACAGAAGAAGAAACAAGCTATAATACCACTTGTTGGACTTGGAGGGATTGTAATGAATGAAATTAATGATACAATATGAAGTAATAAAGATCTAGTAAGAAACAGATTAAAAGAAAAGAAGAACAAAGAGAGTTAATCGCAGAGAAACGATGTATATTAACTGAAAATATTGAGAGAAATTACAGACACAGCAATAATACTTAAACAAAACTAACAAAGGAGCATTGTGTTTATAGGCCACGTTTCAAACCCTAGAAGAGTCCTAAAGGTAAAAGGATCTGTTAAAATTAGCTTACAATTGAGCATAGAATTTCGACCGAGAGAAGATTTCCTTTTCTTATTCAATTTGGATACAATATTCCTTTCCAAATATAAATCAAATACGTAATTTCACAAGACTCCTAACCATATTCGAGTCACAAAAACCTCATCTTCTTGTCAATATGACAAGTGACGGTGGCAAGCCTTCACATCTCTTACCATTTTCTTGTAAATCCCTTCTACTTCAGGATGAAGTTCAGTTTTGACAAGTTTCTTCAAGAATAATTTCCAAGCTTCTTGCTCAGAAAGTATTTGCACTTTTATAATCGTGCGACAGCCCATCCAAAGACAAACTTGTTTTTGATCAATTTCTTGTCAACTTGCATCCATTCATTTCTAGAGAAATGCCAATCTTCTCTACGTAAATTTGCTTCCAAACATCGTCCAGTATAAGTACAAATCTCTCCCTTAATGTCTCGAAGATTTTAGTTCCCCTTTCCTCTTGTCATTCTCACATGAGAAATCTAGTTACAAGGCATGGACAATGTCAATCTGCAATTTGTAAATGCTAAACCCTTGAGAGATTGTGACCCAATTAACATGACCAAAGAATGCAGAAAATCACTTCGTTCAAGAAGTCCGTGACTTGGTCATTATTTCAACCTGTTTAGTCAACTTTTTCATGTATAAAAATTAGAATCTTTTGCATTGTACTTACTTTTTTCAGGGTATCAAATTCTGTTACTTTGTTTTCAACATTACTAACACATTCTTCAACCTCTCTCTTGCATTATTTTTCCCCTGGAAGATATGTTGCATTTTGTAATTCTGCACGCACATTAGCTTGACTTTTAGCAATTCGATTTTTCTTGTAAGAGTTTGTACATTCCCTCCAAGTCTCTATATTGATCGATGTGAATTCCTACAACCATGCGTGGCACAAAAATTAAAGGGCATTATTTATGGGGCTTTTAAAAAATTATATGAAAAATTAAATAGAACAAACGATCACTAAAAAATCTATCGCTGAATGTCAACAATATTATTAATAATAATAAAAATTATATAGATCAAATAGGCAATGTAAAACATTCCATCGGTGATTGTTGACAGTATCATTATTGATTTTTATGATCAGCAATTACTAACGTACCCTATATGATGACCAAAGATAATATCATCTTCGATAGAAAAGTAGTTTTTATTAACAAAACTCTAGCATTTGTATCATCAATTATTATCAACATGCATCTGTCAGCTATTATCGATGACAAAGTTATCATCAAAGTTACTGATAATGTTATCGACAGCCATCGACGATGCTATGATCGCTTACTGCCAATATAGAAGTTTAGCACTTCTCTAGAAAGCAAGTTTCTACTTATTTGGACCAATGGAAATGCTTTTATTACATTTTGAAAAATTGAATTAACATAAAAAATGGTTGTTGGGTAGCAGATTTCTCAATCCATTTTAATACTTTAATCAGCCTTGTCATTTAGTCATTTAGGAGATTATGCTTTCCCTCTTAATTTTACAAGTTAAATACTTATTGTCACAAGATAAGTCAAAGTAAGAACGAAACTCTTGTTCACAGCAAATTCCAAAGTACAAAATGTCAGGCCCATTGTCCAGTTAATTGTTTCCCAGAATTAAGGTTACATCGCCAATTCTTGTAATTGTCAGCTCGGGCGATAAATTATAAATCACTGACTTGTTCCAGTTTTGGCATAGAGTTTCCTGATAAGTAAGACTTGATAAGTGTCAAGGCTTGCTTCGGTTTATGCAGGGGAACTTCATGGCCTGCCCCTCTCACTGTCACAAAAGTTAGCCCATTGTACTCCTGTGTCCATCCCCCTACCTGTTTAACGCGTTACAGTTTCTATCATTTTTGATAAAGCAATGACGTTAAATTGAATAAGATTGATGAAGGAAGCAGAAAAATAACCTGGCCATCGTCATACCAAGCACGCCAAGGACTAGTCGTTGGAAGATTCAGAGCATCTATACTATAACGAGTGGATGTAACTGGAATTACAGCATCAGTATCCCCACTGTCAAAAATTGCCACAAACACGGATAACTTTTCTATGTTCTATTAAACAGGAAAGGAGCAATTTGTTGACAAATTCGATCATAACTTTTTAATTGTAAGGTATCGATACATGGTTGGAAGATAACTCTAGCAACAAGTGAATGAGAATGAGGGGCACGTGTAAGAACCTCTAGGCATGAGAGAAACAAAGAAAAGCAGAAATCCTCTTAACATGTAGGCATAAACTTTAGTACCTTTAGTACAGACTAATAAACAAAGAAAAGATTGAGATGGGGAACAGATGGAAACCTGAAGATCCAAATACGAAGTCCCAAAGGTATAAGCTCACGGTAGATATCCAGCACTGACATAGGAGTATCCTTCCAATTTTCATTCACCTCTTCACTGCAAACATATGACTGTGAATATTGCTCTCTCTATAAAATATATCAATCAAGAAAATGCAATAACCATGTATTGAATATCGCATGCCTAGAAAATCACTAGAAGTTATATAATGAAAAAATTTTATTTATCTCTGCGCAACTATTCCAACTGAATCAAAAATACTATATGTTCACATAGACTTCTAGGTTATGTTCAAGAAGTACAGAACAACGGCCAAAGATATCTAGTTTGTGTCTTTTTCAAAAGTTAATAATGCTTGCTTATTAATTAGAAGGTTAAAAGCCAAAATTACTGATACTGTATAGCATGTTTAACCCTCCGAATTACATCAATAGTTTGTAATGCATTTAAAATGTAATCTCCACAATATAAAACGTTGAAAAGAAAAAGATAAGGAATAAAGAAAATCAAAAGGACAAGTAAGAATTTCAGTTGATAGTCCTTGCAAGCTATTAAGCGTGCAGACTAGCAGTCTATAGTATCTTCAGCATTTATATAGGACGAGATTGAAGCAACAGTATCATTAGCATCTTTCCATGTATTTGAGGGGCAAGATATCTCAATAATGAGTTGGTCTAATCATGATTGAAGACGGACAAAATTTACAGCATTAATATATTCTGGAGCTGAGAATTTTGCCTCAGAAATAATACTGGTCCAATTTAAATGCATTCTTATTAACTAATGTTAAAAGTAATTGCTCATGTCAACATACAGCAGAATTTTCCCTCGAATATATATCATCCAAAAAGCTTATTTATTAGACATCATCCAGTATCTCGAAAAGTTAAGAATGTGTTAAGGAAATAAAGTTGAAACTCAAGAACTTACAGTTGTCGCTAGCACAGGCAGTGGTAACCAGCATTTTTATAATGAATAAGTTTAATTTTGTTTATATCTAAGATCTATTTCAAATTATTTACTTTGCAAGCAAAAATGAGATCATAAAATAAAACAACTATAGTTGTAGGATGATCACCCAATCCAAACATAAATATTATACCTGCAGGTTTCCCATTTGGACGGGGAATTTTTTTTATGAACATGAAGAACATTTTGAACCTCGGGAAGATTGAAGTAGACAGTTGAGTGCTGCTCAGTGCAAGGATCGTATGCTCTTCTGATAAGACCAACCTTCTATTACAGGAAATTTCATAACATTAGTTATCCATTGAGAATATGTAGGAAAGATTACTGCAAAAGCATACTCCAAATGAAGATTCGACACTGTCCTGAGTTTTAATTCTCACTTTGTTACCCAATCTAATGGTCTGGTAGAAACATTCATGGTAAAAAGTTATAAATTGACGAGCAACAACGCTTGTAGAAAAATAATAAACTTCCCACATTGCCGGAAAATCCTCTTAACCTCGATTTAAATAGGGCACAAACAATCAAGAGGCAGAAGCAGGGTTCATTACATACCTGTTTTACCCACTGATAAATATAGTGACTTACTAACACTCCTTTTTCACGTATAAATTTGAAGAACTTAAATTTGGTCAACAGAATAAACTCGTCCAGTCATTAAAGGAGATTGTAAAAAATATAAATACTTACTTTTTTCTGTTTTAATAGGCGACTAAATCTATTAAAATTGGCTGTGCATGGGGGAGTGAAGATACTATACATATCAATATCTCCGATTTCTTCATCAGCAATATCAAGAACTTTATCGCACGGCCCTGAGGTATGTATAAACGACTGGGAGTCACAGAAAACATTCAACTGCTTGAAGGTCTCATCAGAAATCATACCAACAGACCACATAAATTGGAAGAGTCCCAAGTAATCATGAAAATCATCTGTTAGCGCATTTCCAACCTGCATTAAAGTATAAGCTACATATTTAATTTTGTCCAAATGAGCATATGATCTCCAGATCTAAAATATCAAGCAAAGAAAGCCCATACCATAAAACCCTTCAGATTGATGATGACTTCTCCATTTTTATGGTTGTGCCTCACAATGGCTTGGCTTAATTGTGGTACATAGTGCCCTGTAGATTGCATAGACAACAATTTAAAACAGACATATGGTAACAAGACCACCAAAGTTAAGTGATAGTTTCAGTTTTTAATTTTTTTTCTCTTCTCAGCAACTAGTTACAATAAGTAAACCCAGCAGTCATAAATTGCAAAAAGGTAGTTCTTCCTTGGTTATTAAGAAAGTTCACCATCACCCACCTGCATAACTTTCTCCTGTGATGTAGAAGTCCCTTCCTTTATACTGTGGAAAACGTTTAAACCACTCCAATAAAAATTCTAGATTGTCGGCAGCTGCATTCCAAGAGATTGAAATCAATCTTCTGTACATACCAAAACAAAATAAAAAATAAAAGAAAAATCAAGATGGGCTATAGAAAAGACACCATTACCCGTCCGTTTATCACCATTGTTCAGTTGATCATTGGTGATGTTTGAATATGAAAAACCAACTCCAACTGGAGAGTCAAGAAACAATACATTTGCAGCTGCAATATGAGAAAAGAATTAGGCAATTCCTATATGAAATTTTATAGAAGTGCCACTTTGAATTTAAGTATTTTAGATTGACTTCCAGCAGACTCCTAATAGAAAATTCTAGCAATTATCTAATCCATCATTTCCAGAAGCACGGGAAGTTATAAAGATCACGCGCAAAGTATTGCTAAAAAGTAAAGTGAAAAGAAGAAAACTAGAAAACAAGGAGACAAGAATGTAAAAACAACGAAGTGTTCCTATTGAGGGGTAAATGTGTGTCGGAAATATATATTTTTAACTCAAATATTGCTAATATGAGCTAGTTGAAAATTATGAGCGTATGATACTGTAATATATGTACTAAACAGTCACACAAGAGCTCATTTCTATGTTTGCAGGTAAGCACAACATTTGATTTTTATAAAAATTTAAAGTAATGGCATTGATAGTTGTAGAATCCACCTAAAGATGTGTTTTTTTTTTTTTTTTTTTTTTTTTTTGAAAATATAAATTTTTACCCTTCATCTCGTTTGAGTCAAAATTCAAATTTCAGTGCTGACTAACTGAATTATGGACAAAACTCCAGCTACCATTAAAGTAAAAAGTTTGAGATCGCTGCCGCAGAAATGAAATATTAAGGTCTATTCCGCAACAAAATAAAAGGTTTGGGACCTCCTCCGCAACAATTTGCCCTTTATAGTATCATATGTTCTATTCGTTATAGTACCAGTATTTAAGTCATCTTAATCCAATAACGAAAACTCTTATGTCAAACAGTGCTCAATCCGTCAGTTTCATCACTCGGCTTCTTTCCTCTTCTTCTTCCTTCTGTGCTATTTATATTAATGGGATTGATTGCCCCCAGGACACATCTCCAAGTAGTAAAAGGGGAGGGTGGAGAAATTCAGCTTTGCTTCGAATCCTGAAATATGGATTTGACTCTTGGGTAAGTGCAAGTGTACAAGCAGCTTTCTACCCTGTACCCTTGGAGGCATAACCTACGATTTACCTCCCTCACAATACTCCAGGGCAGGGGTGGTGGGGGACCCTTAAGGTTAGGGTTTAACCTTTTTATATTAATGGGATTGATTTCTAAATGTATATTTCAGTACTAAAACTGTACGTCAATAAAAGGACTCGAGTCAATCAACTTTAAACAAAATTTACTTAAATTATTAAATTTTGGATTTAATTTTTATTTCAATTATATCACTATATGTGATGTAGACGACAATATGATGAAGCAGACATTAAAATCAAATCGAACTTGAAAAAAACGATAGCTTACTATATTAAATGTCAAACTGTTAAAAAAAATGAAATAATTTTTCTTAAAATAAAATTGAGTGACTCAGGAAAAATCCAGCTTAAATTTCAACGACCGAATTCTCACATAATTGTTCTAAAATGAACATAATAATAAATTAACTGTTTTAAGTTCTGTCAAGTCAAATTTTCCGTTAGCAATTTTCAGATTAAGGACAAAGAGACTCACTGAAAAAATATAAAATAAAAATCCACTGACCTCCGTTGAGCCAAAGAACAAGAGGCTTAGAAGAAGGGTCCTCATCCGCCTCAAGTAACCAATAAAACAGTGCTCGCCCAGATTCCTCGTTGACAGTAACATAGCCAGCATAATGTTCAAAGCTCACGTTAAAATTCTGCCCTGGCAGCTTTGAAACTCTATCCAGCTGTTGCTGGGCATATGGATCTAAAGAAAAACTCAACTGGATCTTGACGATGAAAAGGAAGAGGAAAATATTCATTTTTCGAGACGTGTACTTGTAATGGCCGTCCAAGAGTGGGTGAAAAGGAGATTATATATAGATATAATCATTTTAATAATGTGCTGATACTTTTGGAATCACTCAGGATTAATTGTGTTTGTTTAATAATGTTCTTGTCCGATTTGTTGTCAAACAATCTTTGCGCTTCAAGGGCTTTGGTCCATAATTGAAGAATTATTTTATTTGGTTCCACACATTATTTTATTGAGACAAATAAAACTTGGCAAGTCTTCCAGGAAACTCCTCTATTTTATCCTTCGTTACTATTCTAGCACAATTCAGAATTGGGAAATCATCTAGGAATTTGAGGTTGATTAAGCTTGCCATACCTTGGGGTACTTCCTCAATTCTAGTATTTGTGAGGTCCAAATGTATCAATTTTTGAGCTTTTCCAGTGATGGCACTGATTCCAGTTCTTTACAATGTAATGTTCTAAGATTATCCAAGTCTGCTATGCAATATGGCAAGTTCTGAAATTTAGTGAGACCCAAATCGAGAGTGTAGATCACGCATGTGCTCAAAGAAACAATCTGACACTTGGGCGACGTGCCAGGCGAATTTCCTTTTTAATCATCAAGGAATTTTATTTAAATCTTCTGTCCATTTTTGCACCTGTTATTTCCCTCAAGTGAAGTCCAGCTTTTACCATGTATGTCTAGGTCATGTTTATTTATCGCTATTGCCATGACTCTGATGAAATCATGTCCGTATCTGTTGAAGCCCTTTCTAGTAAGAAGGCTCTCTCCAATTGATTTAGTATTGCATGACCTTGGTCAATCTCAACTCTCAAGATAAATCTTCACTCCATCAGCTCTCCGAAATGACTTTTTCAATCAATTTGTCTCTTGGACTATGATAGTCTTCAGGATACACAGAGCAATACAAAAACATTTTAGTTTTGTATCCCTCAGTCGATCATAATCGTACAAGAGTATTGGCAAAACTGCTGGATTCGGAGAGATTATAATGAATGAGATTAATGGCACAATATAAAGTAATAAAGATCACAGCAAAAAACAAGATTCAAAGTAAATAAGAACAAAAAGAGTTAATCGTAGAGGAACGATGTATATTAACTGACAATATGGAGAAAAATTACAGACACGTCAATAATGTTTAAACAAAATTGAGAGGGAAATCTTGTATTTATAAGCCATGTTTCAAATCCTAGAAGAGTTCAAAAAGATAAGAAAATCTGTTAAAATTAGGTTACAATTGCGCATAGAACTTCGATTTAGAGAGGATTTCCTTTTCTTATTCAACTTGGATACAATCTTTCTTTCTAACTAAAAATCAAATACGCAATCTCAAAAGACTTCTAACCATATTTGAGTCATAAAACCTAACAATATCCACCTTGACTCAAAATTCGGTGCAACAATCTGAGCTCCACAAAATTTCTCCTCCTGAGAAATAAACTCGTTTGCATCGAAGTGAAATGACCAATCTCCTCAACGCAGTAACCAAAACTCTCCATATAAACCATTGTCATCTACACGGCGTCCACAAGCTACACCTGAACCCTATTTCCGAGATCCCAAAATTCCACCAAGGAATTAATGTTTACCAACAATGGGTCAAAGCACACCCTGTAGCAAAAACCATACTAAATGCCAAAATAAAAGACCCGTTGCTAGAACTGTCGCCTTCGATGTCCCCAAAAGCATTACAGACATCACTGACACCACAGTACCTACGCTCAATGGATCCAATCCTAGCAAATTGATGGCAAAATCACCAATCCTCCCTCGAGCAATGTTCCAAACTGACCCAAAGCCCATCACAAGAAGTACTATACCAAACTAAATATCCACCACGGTACTGAACTTGTCCAGATGTCTCTTAATTCGTTCTACGCTCCCCTGCAAGATGTACAACTAAAACATTCTCCGTCGCTCTAGTAAAACCCGGATATCCTTTCGGACCTTCAAGACTCAATTTCCACTAGAGAATTTATACTCTTTTGTATCCAGAGTACTAAGTAAGGTGAGATTCCTTTTCAAGTCTAGAACATGTCGAACCTGATCAATTATTCAGATTATCTCATTCCGTAGCCTCTGACTCGACCAATCCCAGCAATACGGCAAAACTGGTTGTTTCCCATTACAACTCCACCTTGTTGAACAGTCTCATATGTCTGAAAGAAATTTTGATTGAAACACATATAATGCGAACATGCCGAATCGAGAATCCACTCTTTGTAGGCCTAGATTCCATGTCAGATACCATGCTCAACATCACATCTCCGACGTCTGAAAAATCTTCAACTACATTTGTTTCGTCTAAAGTCAAAGATTGCGCTCCATGATTTGCAACTAAATCACATTTAGACTGCAACTTATCGCAATTCTTCTAAATATGTCTCTTATGTTTGCAATAGAAGAAAAACAAATTGTTGTTATTCTTCGATTTGCCCCTTCGTCGATCACCATGAGATATAAGAGCTTCCCCATCCCTCGATATAGCTCCAACCAAATGCTTTAATTCTCCTTTGAGTGCAAAGCATCATAAACATCGTCTATAATCAAAGTATCCTGACTATACAACATGGTATCCTGAAACGACATATAAGTGCCAGGTAGCGAACACAACAGGATCAAGGCCAGATCCTCTTTATTGTACTTAACCTCCAACGTATCCAAATCTGCAACTATTTCCTTGAACAATGTAATATGGTCCTCCAGTGACCCTCCTTCTGCCATGCGATGGAAATACAGTTTTTGTTTTAGAGCTGGTTTACTCGTAAGACTTTTAGTCATGCATAACTGCTTCAGTTTCAATCACAAAGTAGCCGTTGTTTTCTCCTTCAAGACATACTGCAAAATATTGTTGGATAAATGAAAATGGATTTACGATAAAGCCTTCCGATCCCTCCGTTGTTTTTCTTCCGTTATCCAATCAGCTGCTATCTTCTCAAAATCCAGTAGCGCATCATCCAAATTCAATTGTGCCAGAATAGCTTTTACCTTTACTTACCAAAAGAAAACATTGTATTGCAATCCAGTAGCAAAATGTCATACTTCATGGTAGTCATCTCTAAAAAAAGGTCAACCAATCCACAGAAGAAGAAACAAGCTATAATACCACTTGTTGGACCTGGAGGGATTGTAATGAATGAAATTAATGATACAATATGAAGTAATAAAGATCTAGTAAGAAACAGATTAAAAGAAAAGAAGAACAAGAGAGTTAATAGCAGAGAAACGATGTATATTAACTGAAAATATGGAGAGAAATTACAGACACAGCAATAATACTTAAACAAAACTAACAAAGGAGTCTTGTGTTTATAGGCCACGTTTCAAACCCTAGAAGAGTCCTAAAGGTAAAAAGATCTGTTAAAATTACCTTACAATTGAGCATAGAATTTCGACCGAGAGAAGATTTCCTTTTCTTATTCAATTTGGATACAATATTCCTTTCCAAATATAAATCAAATACGTAATTTCACAAGACTCCTAACCATATTCAAGTCACAAAAACCTCATTTTCTAGTCAATATGACAAGTGACGGTGGCAAGCCATCACATCTCTTACCATTTTCTTGTAAATCCCTTCTACTTCAGGATGAAGTTCAGTTTTGACAAGTTTCTTCAAGAATAATTTCCAAGCTTCTTGCTCAGAAAGTATGAGCACTTTTATAATCGTGTGACAGCCCATCCAAAGACAAACTTGTTTTTGATCAACTTCTTGTCAACTTGCATCCATTCATTTCTAGAGAAATGCCAATCTTCTCTACGTAAATTTGCTGCCAAACATCGTCCAGTATAAGTACAAATCTCTCCTCTAATGTCTCGAAGATTTTAGTTCCTCTTTCCTCGTCATTCTCACGAGAAATCTAGTTACAAGGCATGGACAATGTCAATCTGCAATTTGTAAATGCTAAACCCTTGAGAGATTGTGACCCAATTAACATGACCAAAGAATGCAGAAAATCACTTCGTTCAAGAAGTCCGTGACTTGGTCATTATTTCAACCTGTTTAGTCAACTTTTTCATGTATAAAAATTAGAATCTTTTGCATTGTACTTACTTTTTTCAGGGTATCAAATTCTGTTACTTTGTTTTCAACATTACTAACACATTCTTCAACCTCTCTCTTGCATTATTTTTCCCCTGGAAGATATGTTGCATTTTGTAATTCTGCACGCACATTAGCTTGACTTTTAGCAATTCGATTTTTCTTGTAAGAGTTTGTACATTCCCTCCAAGTCTCTATATTGATCGATGTGAATTCCTACAACCATGCGTGGCACAAAGATTAAAGGGCATTATTTATGGGGCTTTTAAAAAATTATATGAAAAATTAAATAGAACAAACGATCACTAAAAAATCTATAGCTGAATGTCAACAATATTATTAATAATAATAAAAATTATATAGATCAAATAGGCAATGTAAAACATTCCATCGGCAGTATCATTATTGATTTTTATGATCAGCAATTACTGACGTACCCTATATGATAACCAAAGATAATATCATCTTTGATAGAAAAGTAGTTTTTATTAACAAAACTCTAGCATTTGTATCATCAATTATTATCAACGTGCATCTGTCAGCTATTATCGATGACAAAGTTATCATCAAAGTTATTGATAATGTCATCAACAGTCATCGACGATGCTATGATCGCTTACTGCCAATATAGAAGTTTAGCACTTCTCTAGAAAGCAAGTTTCTACTTATTTGGACCAATGGAAATGCTTTTATTACATTTTGAAAAATTGAATTAACATAAAAATTGGTTGTTGGGTAGCAGATTTCTCAATCCATTTTAATACTTTAATCAGCCTTGTCATTTAGTTATTTAGGAGATTATGCTTTCCCTCTTAATTTTACAAGTTAAATACTTATTGTCACAAGATAAGTCAAAGTAAGAACGAAACTCTTGTTCACAGCAAATTCCAAAGTACAAATGTCAGGCCCATTGTCCAGTTAATTGTTTCCCAGAATTAAGGTTACATCGCCAATTCTTGTAATTGTCAGCTCGGGCGATAAATTATAAATCACTGACTTGTTTCAGTTTTGGCATAGAGTTTCCTGATAAGTAAGACTTGATAAGTGTCAAGGCTTGCTTCGGTTTATGCAGGGCAACTTCATGGCCTGCCCCTCTCACTGTCACAAAAGTGAGCCCATTGTACTCCTGTGTCCATCCCCCTACCTGTTTAACGCGTTACGGTTTCTATCATTTTTGATAAAGCAATGACGTTCAATTGAATAAGATTGATGAAGGAAGCAGAAAAATAACCTGGCCATCGTCATACCAAGCACGCCAAGGACTAGTCGTTGGAAGATTCAGAGCATCTATACTATAACGAGTGGATGTAACTGGAATTACAGCATCAGTATCCCCACTGTCAAAAATTGCCACAAACACAGATAACTTTTCTACGTTCTATTAAATAGAAAAGGAGCGATTTGTTGACAAATTCGATCATAACTTTTTAATTGTAAGGTATCGATACATGGTTGGACGATAACTCTAGCAATAAGTGAATGAGAAAGAGGGGCACGTGTAAGAACCTCTAGGCATGAGAGAAACAAAGAAAAGCAGAAATCCTCTTAAAATGTAGGCATAAACTTTAGTACCTTTAGTACAGACTAATAAACAAAGAAAAGATTGAGATGGGGAACAGATGGAAACCTGAAGATCCAAATACGAAGTCCCAAAGGTATAAGCTCACGGTAGATATCCAGCACTGACATAGGAGTATCCTTCCAATTTTCATTCACCTCTTCACTGCAAACATATGACTGTGAATATTGCTCTCTCTATAAAATATATCAATCAAGAAAATGCAATAACCATGTATTGAATATCGCATGCCTAGAAAATCACTAGAAGTTATATAATGAAAAAATTTTAATTATCTCTGCGCAACTATTCCAACTGAATCAAAAATACTATATGTTCACATTGACTTCTAGGTTATGTTCAAGAAGTACAGAACAACGGCCAAAGATATCTAGTTTGTGTCTTTTTCAAAAGTTAATAATGCTTGCTTATTAATTAGAAGGTTAAAAGCCAAAATTACTGATACTGTATAGCATGTTTAACCCTCCGAATTACATCAATAGTTTGTAATGCATTTAAAATGTAATCTCCACAATATAAAACGTTGAAAAGAAAAAGATAAGGAATAAAGAAAATCAAAAGGACAAGTAAGAATTTCAGTTGATAGTCCTTGCAAGCTATTAAGCGTGCAGACTAGCAGTCTATAGTATCTTCAGCATTTATATAGGACGAGATTGAAGCAACAGTATCATTAGCATCTTTCCATGTATTTGAGGGGCAAGATATCTCAATAATGAGTTGGTCTAATCATGATTGAAGACGGACAAAATTTACAGCATTCATATATTCTGGAGCTGAGAATTTTGCCTCAGAAATAATACTGGTCCAATTTAAATGCATTCTTATTAACAAATGTTAAAAGTAATTGCTCATGTCAACATACAGCAGAATTTTCCCTCGAATATATATCATCCAAAAAGCTTATTTATTAGACATCATCCAGTATCTCGAAAAGTTAAGAATGTGTTAAGGAAATAAACTTGAAACTCAAGAACTTACAGTTGTCGCTAGCACAGGCAGTGGTAACCAGCATTTTTATAATGAATAAGTTTAATTTTGTTTATATCTAAGATCTCTTTCAAATTATTTACTTTGCAAGCAAAAATGAGATCATAAAATAAAACAACTATAGTTGTAGGATGATCACCCAATCCAAACATAAATATTATACCTGCAGGTTTCCCATTTGGACGGGGAATTTTTTTTATGAACATGAAGAACATTTTGAACCTCGGGAAGATTGAAGTAGACAGTTGAGTGCTGCTCAGTGCAAGGATCGTATGCTCTTCTGATAAGACCAACCTTCTATTACAGGAAATTTCATAACATTAGTTATCCATTGAGAATATGTAGGAAAGATTACTGCAAAAGCATACTCCAAATGAAGATTCGACGCTGTCCTGAGTTTTAATTCTCACTTTGTTACCCAATCTAATGGTCTGGTAGAAACATTCATGGTAAAAAGTTATAAAATTGACGAGCAACAACGCTTGTAGAAAAATAATAAACTTCCCACGTTGCCGGAAAATCCTCTTAACCTCGATTTAAATAGGGCACAAACAATCAAGAGGTAGAAGCAGGGTTCATTACATACCTGTTTTACCCACTGATAAATATAGTGACTTACTAACACTCCTTTTTCACATATAAATTTGAAGAACTTAAATTTGGTCAACAGAATAAACTCGTCCAGTCATTAAAGGAGATTGTAAAAAATATAAATACTTACTTTTTTCTGTTTTAATAGGCGACTAAATCTATTAAAATTGGCTGTGCATGGGGGAGTGAAGATACTATACATATCAATATCTCCGATTTCTTCATCAGCAATATCAAGAACTTTATCGCACGGCCCTGAGGTATGTATAAACGACTGGGAGTCACAGAAAACATTCAACTGCTTGAAGGTCTCATCAGAAATCATACCAACAGACCACATAAATTGGAAGAGTCCCAAGTAATCATGAAAATCATCTGTTAGCGCATTTCCAACCTGCATTAAAGTATAAGCTACATATTTAATTTTGTCCAAATGAGCATATGATCTCCTGATCTAAAATATCAAACAAAGAAAGCCCATACCATAAAACCCTTCAGATTGATGACGACTTCTCCATTTTTATGGTTGTGCCTCACAATGGCTTGGCTTAATTGTGGTACATAGTGCCCTGTAGATTGCATAGACAACAATTTAAAACAGACATATGGTAACAAGACCACCAAAGTTAAGTGATAGTTTCAGTTTTTAATTTTTTTTCTCTTCTCAGCAACTAGTTACAATAAGTAAACCCAGCAGTCGTAAATTGCAAAAAGGTAGTTCTTCCTTGGTTATTAAGAAAGTTCACCATCACCCACCTGCATAACTTTCTCCTGTGATGTAGAAGTCCCTTCCTTTATACTGTGGAAAACGTTTAAACCACTCCAATAAAAATTCTAGATTGTCGGCAGCTGCATTCCAAGAGATTGAAATCAATCTTCTGTACATACCAAAACAAAATAAAAAATAAAAGAAAAATCAAGATGGGCTATAGAAAAGACACCATTACCCGTCCGTTTATCACCATTGTTCAGTTGATCATTGGTGATGTTTGAATATGAAAAACCAACTCCAACTGGAGAGTCAAGAAACAATACATTTGCAGCTGCAATATGAGAAAAGAATTAGGCAATTCCTATATGAAATTTTATAGAAGTGCCACTTTGAATTTAAGTATTTTAGATTGACTTCCAGCAGACTCCTAATAGAAAATTCTAGCAATTATCTAATCCATCATTTCCAGAAGCACGGGAAGTTATAAAGATCACGCGCAAAGTATTGCTAAAAAGTAAAGTGAAAAGAAGAAAACTAGAAAACAAGGAGACAAGAATGTAAAAACAACGAAGTGTTCCTATTGAGGGGTAAATGTGTGTCGGAAATATATATTTTTAACTCAAATATTGCTAATATGAGCTAGTTGAAAATTATGAGCGTATGATACTGTAATATATGTACTAAACAGTCACACAAGAGCTCATTTCTATGTTTGCAGGTAAGCACAACATTTGATTTTTATAAAAATTTAAAGTAATGGCATTGATAGTTGTAGAATCCACCTAAAGATGTAAAAAAAGATGATAGCTATGCAGCCTAAATGTTACCTACTAAAAGGTGTGCTTTCAAGAACATAGGAACCTTTCTATTTTCAAGACAAGAATTGAACTTGATGAACTAGTCTTTTAAACTTTTGTTCTTTTCATTGGATTTAAAATTTTGAATTTCTTTTGCAAGGCAATTTAGATACAAATTCAATTCATTTCTTTTCTAAAGGACGGCACACAAAAATATACCTTTAGTCCAAGAATAAGGATTCAAATATAGGGTCTTCCCATCTTCCTCAATATGGAAAGGTCCAATTTCCTCAGCTAATCCATACGCAATAGATGAACATCCAGGCCCTGAACATAAAATGGATCAGAAAAAGATTTCCACCCTGGCTATGAATTACATCACACCACGATAAAGTACCATGTTAAGAACATAAATGAATTGAACTTTACAGCCTCAAATTCAATAACTAAACTAAAAAGTGAAAAAGAAACAGTAAATCCAAGATAGAATTTTTAATAATCACCATGTTTTCTGATACTTAATGACATGTTTCGAGGAGAATCAATGACATACAAGTCCAACATAATAAAAAATGTGTATACAACTTTCTAAAGTTTATAATCAAGAAAGGGAAGAATTATCACCATATATCTTGAAATAAATTATTTGCTAATGCTAAGAACTTTTTGGATATTGCAAATAATCTATTGGCCCAGAGGGCACAAAAGGATTCTCTTATAGCTGAGATATATCACAATTTCGTCTGCCTCACATACCTCCCAATATCATAACAAATTCTAAAAAAAATAAAAATAAAATTGCACTTGTCTGAAGGTTTCATTAACAAACTAAACTTCAAAGTTTTAAACGAGAAGACACAAAAGAGAGGTTCAGAATAAATTGACCTCCATTCAGCCAAAGAACAATAGGCTTGGAAGACGGGTCCTCATCGGCCTCAAAGAACCAGTAAAATAATGCTCTCCCAGATTCATTATTGACTGTAACATAGCCAGCATAATGTGCAAAGCTCACGTTGAAATTCTGGCCTGGAAGCTTCGAGATTCTATCAAGCTGCTGCTGGGCATACGGGTTTGAAGAAAAAATTGCGCTGCAGCTGATTGAATGGAGCTTGGCGATGAAAACGAAAACGATAACGAAAAGATTCAAAATCCGATTCGAAGTCGGCATGCTTTTAGGTTTCTTTGGATCGGATATTGACGAGGAACCCGTAGTATATATACCTCGTGAAACGGGGAAAGGGCAGATTTTAATTATTGAGTTTGTGCATTTGCATAACTGTGCTGTCAGCAGGGAGTGGTTATTGAGTGACGGGACAAAAACACCACAAATTTTCCTCGGACTTCACCCAACTTGCACTTATCGTTTTCGTTTAACATTATGCCCACGTTTGGTTCAATTAATTTTGATTATAACGAATGAATAGCATTTTCTTTTAAAATGGATTATTATAAAAAAATGAACGAACGAATAGTATTTTCTTTTAAAATGGATTATTATAAAAAAATGAAAAAAATTTGATTTATATATAATATTATTTTATTGAAAATTGTGTGATTGAAAATAGAAAAAAAATTTAATTTAATTTGATGAGAAGTAATGGCGGTGAAACAGGGGCTATGTTTGTTCATAGTTAGTTTTTGTTTAATTTAGCTACAAATAATATTTTTTAGATTTTAATAAAATGTATGATTGTAAAAGAAGCTTGTTGCGTGTGCAGACACAGAAACCATATAGAAAAAACACAACAAGGGTTGGGTGGGGGGATTTTTAGCATTTTTTATTATAACATGAGTCCCACATATGTGAGATTTTTGACTATGTGGAACAGTTTTCTATACAAATGAAAATCTTTATTGTAAAACTAATAACATGAAATATATAGTTAAAATTAACTATTATTTTGACTTATTGTTGAGAAGTATTGGACTCATCTCATCCCCCAAATGCTAGTTTGAAAGGTGAGGTTTTCCCTTATGCTTACAAACTAAATGCCAACCTCATCCACAATCAATATAGGACAACCTCAACACTTATATTTTTATTAGCTTTTTGAAAAAGAAAAAAAAAAGTACGACAATATACTAATATATAATAAATAATAATATAGCTATAATCAATGGAATGTTTAAACCCAACATCTAAAGGTTAATAATACAAAATAACTAACAATAAAAAGCAACAAATCATTTATATATTATTTCTAAATAATTAAATTTAATATCAAATTAAACCCTATGTGTCAATTATGCAATATAAATTTTTTTTTAAAAATGTAAATAACAAAAAATTTGGTAACGAAGAAAAATTCCTTGAAAACTATTCACAGTGAACAAAAACCTCCGGGTAAACTTTGCTAAAAAGATCCACCAGAAAAGATAACTTAGGATTGATCTAGACACAACTAAAATTTTAGTATGCTCTAACCACTTGACATATAAATCACCAAAGAACCTCTTTGATTGTGCAACATTTACTTTTCAACAATTCTAAACTTATTTTCCCTCCACATGGCCAAGAACGAATTCATTCTGAAACAACCAAAACTCCAGCTATCTCTTCCCAACATCAGAACTTTGAAGACTTTTTGGTAAAGGTAATGATTTTTTGTGTTTGATCTTTTAGTTGAATCAAGAGATTTATGGAATTAATGCTTGATCTTTATTGAATGTTCTATTGTATCAAATAATGATCAATCAACCATTCAAAGATATTTGGGACGAATTATGGCTACAGTATATATAGTACGAAGTGTTTGAGGTTGTATGGGACCATGAAAAGTCATAAAATCGCGGACTAGGGTTTCACCGAATAGCACTATCACTCGAGCGCTAGCTTTGAGTTTATCGAGTGATGGCACGATCACTCAAGCACTAGACGCAATGCTAGCAAGCGGTTAATATGTTGCTAAAACCGCTCTCAAGTGGTTGACTCCTTCAAAAACTATATTGTCAATCCGCGACTCTTTGACTTTTTTTTTTTTTTTTTTACTAAACCAAGTGTTTAATAACAAAAATAATGTGACTAGAAAAAAACTTTGAAATTCTTGTTCATACAAACCACGTCTTTTTAGGACATTTAGGCCTGCATGGGACTTTTTTCATCGATTTTGAATGATTTTAGATGGTTTCGTTTATGAGAGGTCGGAAAAATCAGTGCGTGCTATTATTATTATTATTATTATTATTATTATTATTATTATTATTAT